ATAACATTGGTCACCAGTCTAGACCTACCCCTCCTAAGTTACATATAGTGTAACACCGAGGACATATAACATTGGTCACCAGTCTAGACCTACCCCTCCTAAGTTACATATAGTGTAACACCGAGGACATATAACATTGGTCACCAGTCTAGACCTACAACTACGAAGTAACATCCTGTAATACTGAGGAGGAGATATTATCAAGGTCATTCATTGAGTAACTTCACATGTACAACAGAAACAATTATATACCAGTCTAGTTTGATAGACATTGTGGAATTTTTTGGAGAGTATTTCAAGCAGCCAGACTGTCACTCAAAGACTGTGCCAAGACAAGTAATATCTGTTAAAAGAATAATTTCACAACTTTGTTTCTGAAAGTGGTTAATTTTGGGAGGTACTTGACAGCAGATGTAACCTCTGTATTGTGATCTGACAATGAGTCAAGAGGAAGGGTGTTTGGGGGTTAGGTGTAGCTGGCAGAGATTAGAATGGGGGGAAGACTACTTTATAAGTGTCACTCAGACACAGGTTAAAGATGTCATTGATGGGACTGTGTTGCCAGGTCCTTCAACAGTTCTCAATCCGCCAGCATGGGCCAAGTCGTACATTACTTGGTGCATTCGAGCAATTCCTCCTAAACTCACACACACTGATTTGGTATGATGGGGATGATGATGAGGATTTGAGGAGTATAGAGGGGTTAGGAGATTGGGTGTGATGGGAATGGTGATAAGGATTAGGGGCTAGGATTGGTGTGATATGGTTGGTGTGATGTTTTAGGGGTATAGTAAGGGCTAGGTAGGAGATTGGTGTGATATGGTTGGTGTGATGTTTTAGGGGTATATTAGGGGCTAGGTAGGAAATTGGTGTGATATGGTTGGTTAGGTGTTTTAGGGGTATAGTAGGGGCTAGGTAGGAAATTGGTGTGATATGGATGGTGTGGTGTTTTAGGGGTAAAGTAGGGGCAGGGATTGGTGTGATATGGTTGGGTTGGTGTTTTAGGGGTATAGTAGGGGCTAGGTAGGAAAGTGGTGTGATATGGTTGGTGTGATGTTTTAGGGGTATAAGGGGGGCTAGGTAGGAGATTGGTGTGATATGGTTTGTGTGATGTTTTAGGGGTATAGTAGGGGCCAGGTAGGAGATTGGTGTGATATGGATGGTGTGGGGTTTTAGGGGTAAAGTAGGGGCAGGGATTGGTGTGGTATGGTTGGGTTGGTGGTTTAGGGGTATAGTAGGGGCTAGGTAGGAGATTGGTGTGATATGGATGGTGTGGTGTTTTAGGGGTAAAGTAGGGGCAGGGATTGGTGTGATATGGTTGGTTTGGTGTTTTAGGGGTATAGTAGGGGCTAGGTAGGAGATTGGTGCGATATGGTTGGTGTGATGTTTTCGGGGTATAGTAGGGGCTAGGTAGGAGATTGGTGTGGATATGGTTGGTGTGATGTTTTAGGGGTATAGTAGGGGCTAGGTAGGAAACTGGTGTGATATGGATGGTGTGGTGTTTTAGGGGTATAGTAGGGGCTAGGTAGGGGATTGGTGTGGATATGGTTGGTGTGATGTTTTAGGGGTATAGTAGGGGCTAGGTAGGTAACTGGTGTGATATGGATGGGGTGGTGTTTTAGGGGTATAGTAGGGGCTAGGTAGGAAATTGGTGTAATATGGATGGTGTGATGTTTTAGGGGTATAGTAAGGGCTAGGTAGGGGATTGGTGTGGATATGGTTGGTGTGATGTTTTAGGGGTATAGTAGGGGCTAGGGAGGAAATTGGTGTGATATGGATGGTGGGGTGTTTTAGGGGTATAGTAGGGGCTAGGGAGGAGATTGGTGTGATATGGATGGTGTGATGTTTTAGGGGTATAGTAAGGGCTAGGTAGGGGATTGGTGTGATATGGTTGGTGTGGTGTTTAGGGGTATAGTAGGAGCTAGGTAGGGGATTGGTGTGATATGGTTGGTGTGATGTTTTAGGGGTATAAGGGGGGCTAGGTAGGAGATTGGTGTGATATGCATGGTGTGATGTTTTAGGGGTATAGTAGGGGCTAGGTAGGAGATTGGTGTGATATGGTTGGTGTGGTGTTTAGGGGGATAGTAGGAGCTAGGTAGGGGATTGGTGTGATATGGATTGTGTGGTGGTTTAGGGGTATAGTAGGGGCTAGGTAGGAGATTGGTGTGATATGGTTGGTGTGATGTTTTCGGGGTATAGTAGAGGCTAGGTAGGAGATTGGTGTGATATGGATTGTGTGATGTTTTAGGGGTATAGTAGGGGCTAGGTAGGAAATTGGTGTGATATGGATGGTGTGATGTTTTAGGGGTATAGTAGAGGCTAGGTAGGAAATTGGTGTGATATGGATGGTGTGGTGTTTAGGGGTATAGTAGGGTCTAGGTAGGAGATTGGTGTGATATGGTTGGTGTGGTGTTTTAGGGGTATAGTAGGGGCTAGGTAGGGGATTGGTGTGATGTTTTAGGGGTATAGTAGGGGCTGGGATTGGTGTGATATGGATGGTGTTAAGTTTAAGGGGTATAGTACGGGCTAGGTAGGAGATTTGGTGTTAGGGGGCTTGGAATAGCTTACCTTTTTATAGGTATATCAGGGGCGACTTAGGTTTTATTATTTAGGAAAGGTAATGTTATTTTAGGAAAGGTAATTTTATAAGAAATACACTGGGTTTAGCAGTTTATATAAATTCATGTTCTGGGGCTATTGTGAGGGTACAGATGTAATAGCCATGTGTGGGTACTTTCTGGGTAAATATGTAGGTCATAATCTGGAGATTTTTATTGGAAGTAAAGAAATTTTATGTTGATATAGACCTATCATAAAATATTCCTATATTTTTGTCAGCTACCATATTTTTTTTCCCTAGAGCATGACATGATCAGGGGACGTCTCCTGTAAAGCGTGTAATTAACAATCTGCCGAGATCTGCTGCAGTAGACACTATATAACTGAGGAAGACTGTCGTATTGGCCCTGACGGTTGATCCCGACAACCCAACAACATGATGTCTCGCTGCCGTGGTGATATTACTCGCATCTGATAACAGCAGATAATGAATGAGTGAAGAAACAAAATGTAAACAAACAGGTCTGATCAGTGGGAGCAGCCAGGTGATGAGTCATCGTGCAGGCCACTGTACACAAGTTGACAGACTGCCGCCACTTGTGGCACAGTACATGGAAAAATAGGATAAAAGAAGGAAAACTAAAACATGACAGATATAGATCAAAATGGGGTGAAACATGGTACAATACTGTGTAAAAAAAAAAAAAATCCTGAAGGTTGCTATGGTGACAGGGCTATAGACTCAGAAACACAGATGAAGCTATTTCCTGGTAAGATTGTAGGAAGACAGAGACAATATAATCTACCAAACAGGACCCTGTAACAATAACGGAGTAGGCTTGTATATAGGTGAGTGTTAGGTTGAGGATACATAACATACCATATCATCACCCTCAGAAAGCACCCTGGCCACTGGGTTGCTGATGTCCATTCGGTTTTCCTCCTCAGAGCGGAGTGTCTGGAGTCGGTAAGCATATAGGGCACATTCGTCATCAAGCAGGGCCTCAAGGTAGCGCTCATTGGTTCGAACACTGACCTTACGTAGCAAACTTTCCTCATCACGTCTCATCATACGTAGGGGGCTTGACCGTGCAGGACTGGACATCACACTTGCCTTGAGTGACAGTGATCTGAAGGGACTGCCGAGACCTAGTGGGGACCCACTGACTGACGTGAAGGCAGAGTTAGTGTTGCCTATACTTGGTGTCGTGGGACAGAAGGCTGTGCGGTATGGAGACTGAGGCATAGACAAGTTGTCCAGTGTCTCCCCCTGGTAGGGCGAGTCACACACAGCTGACCTACTCCCATGTGACAGGTCTATTGGACATGGTAGTTCGGCACCACACTCGCGCACTGTGGGAGTGGTACCACACACGCTCACTGTGGACATTTCTGTGATGATTTGTGAGGGTGGGGCCCTGTGACTTTGGGCAGCCACCCGTTGGTTCTGTGGAGTAAAGATTGGGGACATCCAAGGACCCATGTTTGGGGCCATCCTATGTTCACTTGAGGGTTGCTTGGTTGTATCACAGTCTGTGTGTGTGTACTGTGAAGTCACAGACACTGGTATGTCAGCAGGATTCACAATCACATTATTGTTCTCAAAACCACTGTACACCATCGTGTCACTAAATACAGTGCTTTGACCTTGACTTGTAAGATGACCTTGGGACCTAGCAACACTTTCCTTAGATGCATTATTTCCATTGAGAGAATCACACTCTGAACTGGTGCGGTTTTGACCTTGTGTGACACTATGCCCTCGACCGGTCAGCTGCTCCTGGAGTTGTTGCTCAAGTAACACCAATTGCTCTTGTTGTTTCCGAATCATTTCCAAGTGGTAAATGATGTTTGTGGTCTCTTGGGTACCACTGCCTTGGTGTATCTCTTCTTGACCGTCATATTGTAAACGAGTTATCTCCCCTTCTAGCCTCTGTAGATGGACATGAGACTCGGAGATGCTCTCGTTTAGCTCGGCAATGCTCTGTCTTTTCCTTGTGCGTTTCACATGACCCACAAATCTGCTGACTCTGTCCTGCGTGTCAGTTGTTCCAGTCACATGCTCCGTTGCAGTAGTTTCACCCTGCTGAGGTGTCTGTCCATCCTCTGTCTCATCTGTGTGCATTGCCATTTCTTTTTGCTCAATCTTACGTTCAAGCTGGACCTTTTCTCCTATTGCCTGAAACACATTTAAACACTTATTAAATTCAATTCTAAATGAATTCTGAGAAAAACATTAAAAAAAAACCTCAAATGTTTTTGTATCATATCTGTAGATTCCAAATTACGGGTAAATGATTCGTCCAATATTTTCCAGTTTTGTATATTTTAAATGAATTTTAAAAGCTTAAGAATCTGTTCTTGATATTACGGTAATGCCTAGATGAAATCTAACTAACTTTTTGACAGAAATGAAAAATTTGTTTCAGTAGATTAGAATGGAACTAAACATGAGGAGAAGGAAACACTGTGCCTTCCTAAAATCAGGGGATTACTGTTTACTGTAGAGTAAATGAGTTCACTGAGCAACACATTGTGTGTGGATGGCTTCTGGAGTGGTGGAGATTAGGAGTCGTAACAATGCGTAGTGACAGCACGCCATAACTCCTGCACCACAGATTTGTTTTATATCTGATGCTGTGTAATTTGAAATGTAGTGATGCTAACAGATTATCTCCTATCTGTTAATGGAAGTAGCTATGAATGGTTCATCAGCAAATACATTGGATCCCGACATAGCCATTCTCCACAAACCAATCATCCTGTTCACCTCGAGAGGCACCATTTCTGAAATCCATCTGTCATGTGACCCGACTTTTCAATTATTACCCCGATGTAAGACCATAACTGTGATGAGAAATCTGACTTTTAAAATCCTCTCTCATGAGACATCTTGAACGTGACTGTATTCCGAAACCCTTTGACGAATCCACTATTCACCATTTACCAATAATATCCATATGAACTCATTGCTAATTTTGCCCTTCACATGTAATTACTATACAGGTTATGCTGTGTACAAATATAAATATTTGCTGTCATGATAAATTCGTCCTCATTTATGAGGAGAGAAATTGCGGCAAAAATGTCCTTGTATACAGTACTCTCCTGAGAGACTCGCTTTTTAATGACTTCTCTCGTGTCGCATCAAAAGTTATAAAACATACATTTTTAAAAGTCCTACCATGACAGATGAAGAGAGAAATATCTGGTACTACTGGGGAGGATGGGGGACAGCTAACAATAAACACAGCATTCAAGCCCTCACAATACAGCTAACAAAAAACACAGCATTCAAGCCGTCACAATACAGCTAAAAATAACGCAGCATTCATGCCCTCACAATACAGCAAACAATAAACACAGCATTCAAGCCCTCCCAATACAGCTAACAAAAAACACAGCATTCAAGCCCTCACAATAGAGCTAACAAAAAACACAGCATTCAAGCCGTCACAATAAAGCTAACAATAACGCAGCATTCATGCCCTCACAATACAGCAAACAATAACCCCGGCATTCAAGCCGTCACAATACAGCTAAAAATAACGCAGCATTCATGCCCTCACAATACAGCAAACAATAACCCCGGCATTCAAGCCGTCACAATACAGCTAACAATAACCACAGCATTCAAGCCCTCACAATACAGCTAACAAAAAACACAGCATTCAAGCCGTCACAATAAAGCTAACAATAACGCAGCATTCATGCCCTCACAATACAGCTCACAATAAACACAGCATTCAAGCCGTCACAATACAGCTAACAATAACGCAGCATTCATGCCCTCACAATACAGCTAACAATAAACACAGCATTCATGCCCTCACAATAGATTTCCCTATATCAGCAGCAGCAAAAACTAAGAAGTACCTTCTTAATGAAAACATCCTCATTAGATCTATGTAACAGAATCCTAATCAGTAACATTTTAAGTTATTGCCAGTTTTGGAAAGTGTCCATATCTACTGCCATCCAAACAGTAGATAATCAACTGCTGTGCCATTCATTGGCTACACCCCTCCTGTTAGGATGCGTAGTAGATCCTCTTAATTTACTAGATTAAATATCTTGTAACAATACATGGTTGTTTAGCCTAAAGGAAACCACTTTGTCATTATTGTTCACACATATTTAGAATCAATTTATTCATTTTTTGCTCCAAGTTTATAAAGCCAACAATTGTTCCTCAATTTTGACAAGATGTCATTTTTTTTTCACCGCTCAAAGGATGTCATTGAGCCCGGTCACCTCTACTTCCGGGTCACCTCTAGGTAACTCCTCCCCTGTCACCTCTACCACCCCTGTCACCTCTAGGTAACTCCTCCCCTGTCACCTCTACCTCCCCTGTCACCTCTAGGTAACTCCTCCCCTGCCATGGTTCATCATTCTTGTCACCTTAGTTCACAATATCATTTTTCTTCTTCTGTTATTTAACTTTAGCAAGGAGACTTTGCCCAATCAAATATTTGCCCTTTACCAGTAAACTCCATGTTTGCCAAGCATTACTTTCATCCTTCATGTGTTATTACTATTTATATTATGCTGTGTAATTATATTTGCCCTCGTAATTAATTCGCTTTCATTGCGGAAGTTGAAAAAGGCGAAAATGAATTGTGTCCAAAATTTCCTTGTATACAGTATGTTCTGATTTTTTTTTAATAATTAGTTTTAAAATACAATATTCTGTTATTTTCTGACATTTTACCATATTACATGTTTTCTAGTTTTTTCCCCCCTTGATATTTAGCCATTTTTTTTCTCTCATTTATATTTATTGGCCATGCCCTATTATATTTGCTTATATTTAGCCATGCTCTTTTATTTTTGCTTATAATTGACCATGCTCTATTATTTTCATTTGTATTTTGCCATACTCTATTATTTTCTTTTGTATTTGGCCATACTCTATTATTTTCATTTGTATTTGGCCATACTCTGTTATTTTCATTTGTATTTGGCCATGCTCTATTATTTTCTTATATTTGACCATGTGTTCTTTCATTCTAGCATTCTTGCATTTTACAATATTCTACTTTTTGTTGTTTTTCACTAAGCTCTTTATTATTTTTTTATAGATTTTGACCATGTGTTCTATTATTCTAGCATTTTATTTTACAATGTTCTGGTATTTCACCATCTTTTCGAGTTTATTAAATAAAGACCATGCTGTATTTTGTTTTAGTTTTTGACATCATTCTTGTTAATAACTTTTAATCATATTCTATTTTTCTTGTATTTCCGAAAAAAAAATCTAGCATTTTACCATGTTCTTTAATTTTGTTTGTGTGCTTTTTTTTCCAAAGTTAAAGGCACAGATCCCTGTAGAAAAGAGGTAGAAATATCATATAAAAAAAAAAATCCTAGTATTTTTTCCTGCTCTAGTTTTTCACCATGTTGTATACAATATTTGTATTGCTATTTTACCACCATGTCCTGTTTTTCTAGTATCTGACCATATTTTTAAAATTTTCCAGGTGTTTTTTTTTTTAAGGAATTTTACTATGTTAATTTCCGGATATTTTACCACCATTTCCTATTTTTCTAGTATCTAACCAAGTTTTATTTTTTAATCTTTACCAACCTTTTTTTTAAAAGAATTTTACTGTCCCCAATTTTCTAATATTTCAATACATTTAATTTTTTCTGGTATTTTAACACCATGTTCTATTTTTTCAGGTATTTCATCACATTCTATTTTATTACTTTTTTGATACTTTATCACGTTCTATTTTTCTGGTATTTTATCATGTCCTAGATTTCCATTTTCTGCTGTTTAATCAAATTCCATATTTTGGCTTTCTGACATTTCACTCTGTTGTATATTTTATCCCCTCATCTGAATGGTATCTTGTGTCAAATTGAAAAGATATAGTGAAAAAACCTACGTAATTTCTGCTATAAAACGTGTACATCATCTCCAGGCATCACTTGTATTAAAACCCCTATCATGAACTATGAATATCTGAGATAGCATGAAGCTAACCACCCACTCCCATGTCAATTATAAAAACATGTTCCCTGAAAACGCTTCCTGTTCTGCTGGAGAACTATAGATATCACGGTACATATCATGTAGATAAAAATCCATGTAATTCTTTTCCACATTTATCAGCATGATGAACACCTGGCCTAACTTTTATAAGCAATCTAATGTATTCAACAATTTTACTAATTAAAGATTTCCTGACGGTATTTTAGTTGAATTTTGAGATACACTACCAGGACAGAGGGTAGATAGGTCAAATCATGCTTCCCTCTATATCAAAACAGTCTTCTGTGTGAAATACAAGCACACTTTACACCCATGGACATCCATAAATATGAGTTCGTTTACAGCTGAGAAATATCTTTGATCAGTAAGTTTATTTTCTCCCAAGTATAAAACATTTCTCCTGCTATTTGAGTACGAAGGTTTATAAACAGCTTGAAGGCTCGTTGGAAAAAATAAATCATTGTCATTTTATTGATCTGCTGTGTAGTCCAACGTCATTCTAGTAAGTTTCTTTAAAAAAGTCCTAGTATCTTAATCAGCTGTAATGAATCATTTGAGAATCAGACAGAATGACAAAAACTAAATGAATTAAATCAAATCCAGGTTCAATCAATATAACACAATATATTCTTTTAAAACAATGACCTTTATAAAGATGGAACAACTGCTTTGGTTTCTGATAAATTGCACAACAGTTGATCAATGGTTTCAATCAGCTGATTGGATATCGTGAAAACAATTGCATAATTAAATATTTTTTGTTATTTCCTGTTTGTAATTTTTGTGATCCCCTGTTTGTAATATTGGTGATTCCCTGTTTGCAATATTGGTGATTCCCTGTTTGCAATATTGGTGATTTTCTATTTGCAATATTGGTGATTCCCTGTTTGCAATATTGGTGATTCCCTGTTTGCAATATTGGTGATTTTCTATTTGTAATATTGGTGATTCCCTGTTTGTAATATTGGTGATTTCCTGTTTGTAATATTGGTGATTCCCTGTTTGCAATATTGGTGATTTTCTATTTGTAATATTGGTGATTCCCTGTTTGCAATATTGGTGATATTCTATTTGTAATATTGGTAATTTTCTATTTGTAATATTGGTGATTCTTTGTTTGTATAATTGGAGATTTTCTATTTGTTATTTTTGTGATCTCCTATTTGTAATATTGGTGATTT